TAAATTACCAAAAGTTGAACAAAAAAGGTGTTGAGGAGAAAATGGTGTGATTCACTGTATAAGACTTAAATAAATGAATATAGCCAGGAGACACCAAGGAGAAACTGAGGTGTGGTTCTGCACTGAGTCTGGGTCTATTATATGTTCACCTCTGAAAGTTATAATGAGAACAGAGGAAGTTGACAGGTTGAAGCTTCTTGTTAAGTAAATGGGTGTAACACGGTGGTGCATCATGGGTTCTAAGATTTGGTCGCTTCAGACACCAGTGTTAAGTAGGATAACACAACAGGAGCTTCAGTAAAACGAAACGACTAGAGGTAGCAGCAGTCACAGCTAAGTAACAAACCTACAGGCAGTAAAACAACCTACACAGCAGTAAGGAATCCCAGCAAAGCAGACGCAGTGGAGAGAGATTCTCGTTTTCTCCTTTAGGCAGATGCATAAAAAGCTGTCTCAGCGATAGACTCTCTGAAGCTATCGCGAAGTGAGGATCAGATTTCTCCATTATAAAAATTCAGCGATTGTAGATTAACACCATTACATTTCTGGCCGAGAAAACTTTCACAGAAGAGTGTCTCATATTTTCTTGGCCCATCTCACACATCCGACAGTCACGGTGACAGTGTGGTGTAGCTTCATAGGCCAACACCTGACACATACCACGTTGGTAATTCTTGAGGAGTTAATTGGATATATTCAGTATATCCAGGATGCAGGTGAAGGAGCTTCGAGGTCTTCACATAATTATATAGAACGAGAGGCAATAAAAACGGAGACTATGATAAGTTTTCTGTGAACATTAGTGGAGTTCTTAAACACAGAAAGAAATTACGCTATTAATCCTTGGAAAGGGTTTCGTGTTATGGAGGTGGTGTGGCGGGGATACTGACCTTGTTTTCTTTAGATTTTGCTGCTGGCAGCAGCTACTTCACTGTGCATCCCATATTCACCCGGTGAGCCGTAGGCATAGAGGAGTTAAAGAGCATAGGTCTAAGGATTTTAATCAGGTCCCGGTGGTCGAGTCTACCTTACCATATTTACCTACTGGACACCCAAACTAGAAGTGGCCCTGCTGAGGGAAGGATGCCAGTGTAGTATCTCTCCATATTGTAGCACTCGATGGTACAAATATACTTAATATATAAATATTACACCCGATAGATCGATTTGCGCGATCGATTAATCGCGCTATCCAACCAATGGATACTTAGTCTGCGCAACGATAGGTGACATTTATTGGTGCAATCTATCGATTGCGCTGTGTAACCATACTAACCAATGGATCTGTAGAAAATAATTGTATGTAGTTTAAATCCTTCTCAGTTTTGGACTACATGACACTTTAGTGATTCCAAACAGCGGAAAAAAAAAGACTGGCGGTGATTCTACTCTGACGTGTCGTTCATGCTGGCTGGTTGTACACTGTACTGAATTTAAACACAAGGGATATAAACAAAATACTTCAGTTCTTGCAACGCAATTATTTTGGAGTAACGAGAGAATATGTGCAAGAACTTTGCAAAAGATGCTCTGTATGCTAGCTCAGCCAACCCACCGTCAACCGCCACCACTACGATCTATTGTGCAGAATGATTTTTTGGATCGTGTCCAACTTGACCTTATTGACATGCAACATTGTGCTGATGGTGAATTCAGTTACTTAGGACATTTTATGGATCAGTTTCCAAGCTCCACATTTGGTTCTCACTGGCACAGAAAAATGCACACAAACTTTGTCTGAGATAGTGGAAGAAACAGTTCCTGCCTGCTTTGAACAGCCCCAAAATTTTTCACTCGAACATAAGTAGAATTTGTAAATTAATTTATTTGTGCCATGCTCAAGAGGCGGAGTAATGATGTAACTGAAGTCAACGGTATACAGTATAATGTTAAAGTCGTTGAAGAGTGATTGTCATACCTACTTGGTACAAAATGTGGATACAGTGTCAAGATCTCAGCTATCTTGCTATCAACAGTAAGGTTCAGTGCCATTAAAGTACATGCAGTGTGTGTTTGGACACCTACCATCTGACAATCTATAATACCGTGTTCTAGTGTGTGGCCACATACAGGTATCTGTCCACACCACATTTTATTTCATTCTTGGCTACATGAGGGTCATACTGCCAGAGTTACTTATATCCTAGCCATAATTTTGCAGTGACAACATCTTGTGGTCTGCTGATCTTGTTTTTACTTCATAAACGTCTTTGATTTGATACATTTCATCATAGTGGACAGTAACTTAACTAGTGCTCGTTTGAACTTGTCTGCTTGCATTGAATTCATACGTTAGTTCTATTAGAGTTAGACACTCCGAGATCTTATTCAGCAGATCATTTCTTAGAATCAAGTTTAATTAGGGCATCCACTCCTGTCAGGTTCTCGAAGACCGTCATGAGAAAGGCGCACATGTCTGTGTCTGTCTACTGTACGTGGCACCCTGAGTTAGGAGCAAGTAATGAGGGCAGGGGATCCCTGATTATGAGACAGACTGTGGTAGTGACCTCGGTAAGCTCGAAAGCAGAGACTGTGGCATATAGTTCAGTTTATTGGGTAGACGTACAGGTGTTGATTCTGACTCCCTGCTTTAGTTTGTTGCCATCAGGCTGAGTCATAATAATTGCACTTCTAGCCCTCCCAGAGGCAGCGTTGTGAGACTCTTCGTTAGATATAACCTGTTTGATGATTTTTTTTTTCAGTCTGGAACTTATGCATGTCTTCAAGAGCTCTTATATAGAAAGTAAAGACTATGCATAGTTCATCGTTTAGGCGGGTAGGTGGGTGTAAGAATTTCAATGAGAACAGTGCGTTAGGGCGGCTGGAAGTGTTGTTGTTTCTCAGTTTTGCACAGGTGGTACGATCCAAACATCTTCATATGTGGCCTGGGGTTGTTGATAGTGCCGTGCTTAAGCCCAGCAGTCTCTCTCACATCCCCGGTAATACAGTAGTTAAAGGGGATATGGAGAAGACGAGGGGCCAGGCGCAAGGGGCGGCATTCCTGAGACTTAACATGGATCAAGTATTAAACTACTATAATTGAGCTAAGGTGTTGTAAATGCTATGGAGGGAGATGAGTTATAATGTGTGTCCATGTTGCTCCCCCCTACTGTATTTCTTAGCCATCGAGGTGCCCATCTTCCCCAAGGTCCGTCCTCACTGTCACCCATCCACGTGTCATCGGGCAAGTGATAAATATTTTCTTTAGAACGATGAACAATCATCCAACTGCTCTTACATCTGTTTGATGCTGTTGTGAGGCAGCGGTGAAACTCACTACACAATAGCGTTGCTTACAGGATGAAGCTATAGTTGCCATCATCTGCTTAACTTTTTTCTCCCAACTTTACCACTGCTTTTTCCGACCCTTCGTGACGAGAAGTGGCAACAAATTATCAGAAAGTTAGGGCTTACTAAATAAGGCTGTAGATAAGAGCGCCCCCTTAATAGAGATGTCACCCTTCATAGACACACAGGGGTGCTGGGTAGTGTAGGCTCCCTGGCAAAAGTTAAAGCAACTATCTCCAAGGCTCTACTATACATCCTGTAAGTATGTAGGCCGGATTAACTTTGCTCCTCAAAATATCATCATGGCTTAGTACAATTTATCACTAATTTTCAACTTCTTTCTCACTGTGCCACTGAGCCAGTATTGGGATGGGAGAGTTTCTTGCTTCGTCTGTTATCAGAATTGCCAACTCGTTTTCTATTGTCAACAATGTTTATCAGGTTCCTCCTTCAACCAACAACTCACGTCGGGGAAGAACAAGCAGTTTCTCCCAGAAAACATAAAAGTCAGGATACGACTCGGTAAAAAGACTGAAGTAGGAAACTAGATTGGAACAATTTGCATAATTACCAATGATGAAGATTTATCCTAAGGACGATACAGTTTTCGTCCTCTCAGAGAAATATTTGCGCAGTTCTAGAGCAACCAGTAAAAGTGTTCACCCCGTGAACATCCTGAACATTGAATTTTGAAATATTCAAGAGTCTGAGGAGTAAAGAGTTATTGGATTGTAACCCATCAGGCTCAACAGAGGATCACACTGGTTTAAAAGGCTAGAATCAGAGATATCGTAGATGGTTAACCTAGTCCGAGACCACATGGTGTGTCAACAGTTTCTTTGCCCGTCCACCTGTAAAAAAAAATAAAATAAAAACAAATCCTGGAATCACATCCGTTGCTGTCAGAGTTGGTAGCACCCTACATCACATCGGCGCCAGAGTAACCATTGAAACTGTCTACCTGAAGTAGTCTCACACACGACACCAAGTCAAACTGGTTTCAGAATTCCTCACGTATGCGAGACATCAGTCCACATTGACTAGTCTACGTAGATGTTTCCACTGAAGTAAGAGTGTTAGTCAATATGCGGCCTTAGCTCCTTTCCCTCTCCATTGTTTTAGTGCAATATCGCCTTATATTCCCGAAGGTGTAGATGGAAAATTAGTACTACTCACAATCCAACTGGAAGCTGCATCTTAGGGTAATAACGGTGCTTCTCCACAAAACCCTAACCCCCCCCCCCCCTAACACCACACTGAACCACTTATGTATTACTTACATTCCCTTTGTACATCCACAAATTCAACAAACTGTATCAGAAATTACAAGTACTGACATAGAGATAACTGAACCCTACTTGGCATTATACGAAAAGTTGGTATACGCTTTAAAATATGTCCCGACTTTTTCATGATGGCGAGTGCTTTGTGACTTTTATTAACACAACACAATTCCTGTTTCTACTCTGTCCACGTCATACTGCTCCGTCCCTCATTTCACCCAACACAGTCACTAACACCAACACTTCTATCAACCATCACCCTTATTCTCACCATTCCTTTCTTCCTCCCTATCAACCATCGCTCTGACTCCCACTACACCACTCTTCCTCCCTATCAACCATCGTTCTGACGCCCACTACACCACTCTTCCTCCCTATCAACCTCACTCTCAACATTAAGAACTCTTCCCCTCTCCCCCAACCCTCCAGACTCGGCAACCACGTGGTGCTGCTGCTATCCACTGCGATGTTGTCCCTGACGCTGGCCATCATCCCCTTCTGTACGGTGCTGGGCTGGCTCGCCGCCGTCCTGGCTCTGATGGGCTTTTTCATGGGCACCATTGACACCGTGGCCAACATCTCCATGATACAGCTCTACGGCATGAACGTCGCGCCCTTCCTTCAGGTGAGTGTCACCCAGCCTCTGGCCCTCAGGTGAGTGTCACCAGCCTCTGAGAGACCTTCAGGTGAATGTCACCCAGCCTCTGACCCTCAGGTGAGTGTCACCAGCCTCTGAGAGACCTTCAGGTGAATGTCACCCAGCCTCTGAGAGATCTTCAGGTGAGTGTCACCCAGCTTCTGAGAGACCTTCAGGTAAGTGTCACCCAGCTTCTGAGAGACCTTCAGGTAAGTGTCATCCTGCTTCTGAGAGACCTTCAGGTGAGTGTCACCCAGCCTCTGAGAGACCTTCAGGTGAGTGTCAACAAGCTTCTGAGAGACCTTCAGGTGAGTGTCACCCAGCCTCTAAGAGACCTACAGGTAAGTGTCACTCAACCTGGTCCCCCGGGATCTTTCAGGTGAGTATCAATCAGTTTTTAGGAACTGTTCACAATTTAGAGTTTCACGTGAAACTCATTACTTGCCAATGTTGTGATTCTGATGTCATATTTAAATTAAATCCATTACACATTCTTCACTCACCATAATTTATATTGTAAAGTTTATTTTTTCCCCAACTGGTGTCCCCCACAGTGTAGTGGTCAGAAACGGGCTCCTACGACTCGCCTAGTATTACAACTGATGGGTGAAGGTTTTTCATTCCTATTCTGTATGCACGGATACGTATTATGAGTTGATGCGGCGACTATTGGCTGAAAATTTGATAACAGAATAACTAACTTGAAAGTGGTCAGCGTCAACCTTGTGGTGAAAAAAAACGAGTGTTACCTGTGGTCTCGAATCGACAGGCAACAGCTGTGGATGGTGAGCTGGCACGGCAGCCAGTAAAAAATTGTTGCTTACAGTACCCTTGTAACTAGCATAAGTCCGCCCCATTATGATATGCACTCCTAGACAAATGAACCATCGTTTCAAGGAATCTAAAACCAGAATAGGAGTCACAATTAATCAAGAAAAGTCTGTATTAAAGAAGGTGGAGGTTTAGACCACCATTTAACACTTCAAGTCAGCAGGTATGCTCAGCAAGTGACAGCTCAAGTCAAATTTTCTAAATTGTATAGTGCAGGGTTGGCTTGCGAGGCAGCCTGTAATCCTTAACCAATTTACAATCGATTTGCTAGCAATCACAAGCAGGGGCTAGTCTTGGTTTGCTCCCGGAATGTAGTCTTTAGACGTCAGTTTGAGATGTTCTAAATAGTTGAAATCTAGAAATCACTCTTCTGTCTCCAGTGAAAGGGTGAGAGATCCAAACAGGAGGTCTTAACGCAGGACTTTGTCACAGTTCACTTATGTAGAAATCTGGGACAATTATTAACCAGAATCAAAATCTACAGCTTTACTATAGAGATTATTCTGCTGATATTAACTTGGAAGTTATCATGGTATTTAATATCCAGTAAGATCATATTCAGAAACCGAGTAGTGAAGGGTGAATAATATTAGGCTACAAGACGTAAGACGATGTCATTCTAAATGTATTAAACAAAGGATCTCTCCCTTTCATTTATTTTCTTACCTATCGGTAATCAAATAAATTCTAAAACCTCATTAGCAGCGTGAAGGATGGCAGATGAAAGTAATGAATGGTAATTAAACTCGATTAAAGGTTCAGTAAAGGGTTCAACCCTTTGTGTTGACTTTAATCCTGTATCAACTCCTTATCGTTCACGAGTAATACATTTATGGTCAACTGCTTCAGTTCCACCACTCGTCAGCCTCACTTTAGTCGGGCACAAACACGTGGTAATCGACATAGGTTGACACACCCCACAGTGACAGTAACACCTGACCAAGGAGAGGTCACGGACAAGGTATTTGAGTTAACCCGGCGTTATGACCGTGTTAAAGAAACCACACCTAGCCAAGACACACCCGGGTGGTAATAATTAGGAAGCATTACCGACCGGCGACATGACCACGCACCTGGGCAAACACAGCTGTCCAGATCAAACCAGTTTAATGTTAATTAGGAGAGGTCATCTGCCGGCTCTCCTCCAATACAAAGGCCCTGCAGCTCCTTCCACGGGGCATTACTGTCACATCACTGAAGACAGAAGACAGAGTCATGCTCGTCATTAGTCGAGGTCGGGAGGGAGACTTCCCTCCCCAGCACCACGTCTCCAGCTAGCAGAGTCTCCCACACCAGACATAGTCCAGCACTCCCTTCAACAGCACCTGCAGGACCTCCATTAAGTCACACGTGAGTCTTTGTCAGAGCGATCCAAGGGGGAGTTACTTACGGTGGGAAGTGTATTCATTTCATGTTTATGTCCGAGAGTCAGTGTCTAGTAACTTAAATATAATGTGCTATTAATGTGTCTGTGTCATGGAGTGAATAATAAATAGCTGTACTTAGAATTGGTGTTTAGAAAGATTTCCCCCTTGAACGTATTTACAGTTAAATAACTAACCGGCCACGCTACCAAACTTCCTCACTTTACATTCCTACAACCATAAATTCTTCCTATACTTTCTACCACTAAATCCCCCCTAATTACATTAACACCCTCATCCTAGGACCAGCCCTTAACACCCTCATTCTAGGACCAGCCCTTAGCACCCTCATCCAAGAACCAGACCTTAACTCCCTCATCCTAGAACCAGACCTTAACTCCCTCATCCTAGAACCAGACCTTAACACCCTCATTCTAGGAGCAGCCTTTAACACCCTCATCCTAGGACCAGCCATTAACACCCTCTAAAACATCATTTCCAGAGTTATGTTTCTCGTTCTTTAATCCCCAACATAACCTAACCTAACCTAACTTAACCTAACCTAACCTAACGCTTACCACTTTCTTCCTATCATTGTTCCAGCCAATCATCATCTCTTCGATTTTTCCCGCCAGTAACATTCTATCCCATTAGATCCTCCAACAACGCCCTCCTAGCTCAGAGTTTCTCCCCAGTGATACGTCTTTGTTTAGGGTCTGCCTCGGCTTCCGCTACCACTACCCAAGTCAACAAGACTCAATATTTAAATAGCACTCTCCGTCTCGTTGGGTCCACACCTTGTTCACGTGGTTCTGTCTCATGTCGATTACTTTTACACAATAGAGCTACAGGGTTTGTTTTTCTCTCTCTCTGACGCCAGCAACCAACTATTTTTACTTATGCTATAGTTCTAGGATACAACATTGAACACTAGAAAGTTAGTTCACTAATTTTATGATGGATTGTATTTGGAGGCGGAGTTTTGTAGGTCTAGTTAATGATGATTTGAACATTAAAAGTTGTGTGTGTAATTTTGTTGTGTTGAGAGTCATCAAATTTATCAAACAATATTACAACGTAATTGAGAAAAGGCAGCATAACCCTGAGGTGTGTTTACGTTCTGTAATGTTCAGAAGACATACAATCTAGCTACACCCCCACCACACGTACACAAGTTGCACGGCAGCAAAAGAGACCGCGGAAGAAATGTCGAGTCAACAGGTGATATGGTATGGATTTCCCTTGGGTGTCGCAGAGACTGAGTTTAGTGTATCCAGGGCAGAGTGGTCGCGAGGACAGAGCTTCTTTAGACTACTGAGAAATCCACTGAACCCCGCCCAGGAAATTCATGTTTTTTTTTGCATCATTAACATTTTCTAGATACTTTCAGAAGCAATCTATATAAAGATATAAGCATTTTCGAGACCTGACTTAGCAGCTGCTGGTGTTAGCGTCATGAGATTATTAGAAAGTCTCTGGAACATAAATTTGTTCTGGTGTTCTCGGAAATACGAGTATTTTCAGATCAGTGTGGTCATCCCCACTTCCTGCTCCCAATAAACTTAGTAATCCTGCTTGTATTATTAGATTAACTCTGTATCCCAAATTCTTTCACTTAATAAACTTAGCAATCCTACTTCTCTCACTAAATTAACTTACTATATAAACTTAGTAATCTCCGCTTCCTACACATTGTACAATTAGTGGTCCTGCTCTTACTAAACTCGGTAAGCTTCCCTCCCATCATAAAACCAGTTTTCCCCATCACACCACTTTGCAAACAAATACACCTCGTGATGGATAATAAGGGTACATATGCCAATCCTTGAATGACTATGACAACCGACAACGCTAGGTAGTCTAGTGCTCCGTGAGTAAGAAAGATGGAAAAGTATAATTTAGATGTGCAATAAGAGAAGGATGTATACCTTATTCATAAAGAATTGAAAGTAATATTAGGGTGGACAGATGTGAGAGGGTAGCAACTTACGTAATCAAAAAGTACGAGAAGGGTGCAAGGTGATGCAGTTCTAGTAAATGGAACTTGCGCGCGTATTGAGGGTGGCATGATAATGAATGATGTGTATAGTGACTCGGAGTGTCATGAGGAAGGATGATGGGTTGGGTTTCATCAGCACACTGACCATGGCTATAATTCAGGTAGCATGACGCCTCGGTGGTATATATCGAATGTTGCTTTAAGATCAGTGAAAGCTGAATAAGAATCCAGATGAAATGTTTCCGGAGTTTAACACACTATTGAGGTGTACTACGAGCTAGGAGAAGCTATATGAACGGGGGAAAAGAAGGGCGATGAACTCAAAGAGTCGAGCCGGTATGGTCTACTCTAGGATTCGGCAGAGGCAAACCGCAAGTGACATTGGACGGTAGATTTCTTTGTTTTAGGGATAGGTGCAACAGCGCTAGTGGTCCAGGTAGAGAACCTTCTTCGCAGTTACAGAGTCTAGGATTGTGAAGAAAAAATGTGGATTTGACGTAAGTTTTTTTATTATCCCCGGGGCTGTGATTTTACTTGAAAGAAGGACTAGTTCATCTGTCATTATAGACTTGAAGTTCCGGAATGATTGCGAAGCGACAGTGATTACTGAGAAGGTCTTGGACACATTGGGAAGTTAGTTCAGTGGATATTCTCTGCCTGGCCATGTTTGGGCTCTTTCATCTGTGCTGTGAAGAACAAGGTGGGAGGATGAGTGGCGTTGCGAGGAAGTGACAGCGTTTATTTTCTCAAATACCACTTTAATGCTTGGTAGAAGGGATTACCAATATCCATGT